TTCAGGGGCTCCATGGATGCGTACGTCTCTTTTTCGGTGGCGTGTTTCCATTGTTGTGACCGTGTGGGTGTGTCTTTGTAGTTGGTGGGACATCGCTTCCATCTGCTTTCTGGTGTCCGTGAGTAAGGCGTCTCTGTCCCTTTCCCAGGTCTCGACTGCGCCGGAATAATGGAATAAGGCAAAAATGGGATTCTTTGTTGAACTAATTTGCATATGCCCACCCAGAATCCTTTGTGGTAGTAACCTTACTGCAAATTTGTGATTCCTGTGGGAAAAGCAAGTCTTATGGCTTGACTGGTGTGCAGATTTTTGTTTAACATTGTATTAACTGTTTTTGCTTTGTGTATGTATATATATATATATATATATATATATATATACACATACACATTTTTATAAACACAAATGTATACCAATATGTGTAATATATTAAAATTATATATACAAATATATTAGATGCATATACAGATTTTTATGTTTAGAATATATACCCAAATTTGTAATATATATATTTTAAAAATAAATATTGACTTTTAAAGTTGCAGTGCTTCTTAAATATATATATATATATATATATATATATATATATATATATATATATATATATATATTTAAGAAGCACTGCAACTTTAAAAGTCAATATTTATTTTTAATGTCTGGGGTATTCCTTTACATGCCCCCAACATAAAAACAAAGTTTATTTGTACTGGCCCTGTAAACAGGCTGCTGATCATAAGGGAAATCTGACTGCCATTTTGAAGTCAAGAATAATTGTTTCCTCCCTTTTTGAGGCATAAGTAAAAATTGCTTTAAATGGTTTTTTTTTGGGAACCACAGCATAAAAGGATAGGTTTTGAAGGTTGAACTTGATGGACTTGAGTATTCTTTTTAATTAGATTACTATGTAACTATGTAAATTAATTCCAAAGTTAAAACAGCCTCTTTCTTCACACATGCTTTGCCCATTCTGATGTCATCAAGCTAACTTCTAGTAGCTTGATGATCATTGTCCACTCAAATGCTACCATATAGAAGTACTGATAATAAGACAAATGCACCGCTAACTTACGTTCCTCAAATAAAAAGGAATTCATAGAGAAGCATTGCTGCACTTCAAGAGGCAATGAATTGTGATTAGTGTTTACATTTGCAGTCACTCTATAATGTGATTAAGGTGCCTACAGTGTCCCTTACATTCAGTAATAATAACTCTGAACATTAAGTACCATTAAAATTTAGGTGTACAGATGAATTAACGGGGAGTATATCCATTGAGTTAAACAATAAAATACAATTGTCCCTAGTATTAACCCCTTAAGGACCAAACTTCTGGAATAAAAGGGAATCATGACATGTCACACATGTCATGTGTCCTTAAGGGGTTAAACAGGAAATCTAAGTAACGTAACCACTACAGTTCTGTTTCCATGTGGTTTAACAAAAACAGAGCTTTGCCCAGCACCCTTAGCCTGACCCTTATCTAGCCATCTGGAAAATATGGTCTTTACACTATGCTATTATTCATATCAATTACGTTCAATCTGAACAAACATGATACGTTTAGAACACTGGTTGCGGGTAAACCAAGCAAGCTATTTTCTGGCTGCTATTGGTGTAAGAGCATTGTGAGTGATGTGGCAAAGTAACCTTTGCACTTTCAGGTAGGTGCTTGGGATTTTTATGTCAAATTACTTCTAAATTGTTTACCCAAAATAAGTGGGTTGGTTGGTGTCTGTGATCTATTCACCTTGGCCAGACCCTAAAATCTTTCAATTACGTGATGAATCTATATTTAATACCAAACGAGAACATTTACAGTTTAACCAATAAGTACAGTTAAGTAAAATATATAGTTCAAAATAGCTCATTTAAAAGAACTCTCCATGTGACAGCTTGAATATATGGTCTAAATTTGTAATTCAGCTTTCAATAGCTTCATTGCTAGTATACAGACAGTCCTTTCTTTATTCACTGACTAGACCAGTGATGGCGAACCTATGGCACAGGTGCCACAGGTGGCACGCTGTGCCCTCTCTGTCAGCACGCGGCTATAGGTTCGCCATCAATACAGAGTAGGCACCTGCCTGCTGAAACGGCAGGCGCCTACTCTGCTTCCATGTCGGGAGGCAGGGGGAGGGATCTGTGAAGCAGCTCCCCTGTCCTCCCGCGAGCAAGCTGTGTGGAGCGTTGCCGCGCGTTACCATGGCAATGCTCCACACAGCATCGTGCGGGAGGACAGGGGAGCTGCTCCCAACAGAACTTACCACCACCGGACCACCAGGGATGGCTGTGCCCCCCCCCCTCGTTCATTACAGGTAAGAAGGAGGGAAGGAGGGAGGGAGGGGGAGATACTGATGTAGCATCCTTTTTTTTTAAAACACCTTTACCCCCCCCACACAGTACCCGTACCCCCCCACACACAGTACCCCTACCCCCCACACAGAAAGTACCCCTAGCCCCCCACACAGTACCCCTAACCCCAACACAGCACCCCTAACCT